AGGGATCGTGGAGATCAGTCCGAGCACCACGTTCTGGGACCGGAGGCGGACGCCAGGACGATCCGAGGTCTGTGCAAGGTCACCGGGCACGTTGGTGCTGGAGCTCACGCCCAGGAGTGCTTTCCACGGAGCCAGAGCTCAGCATTTCGATTCCCAGCTGAGGATTTTTTTTTTTTTTTTCAATTGGGCATAGATTGTTTTCCCCCCCACCCCCACCCCGCCCCTCTGTTTCGCCTACCGAGTCTCCCCTCCTGCGAATATGTGCTGCACCCCTGCGTTACAGCCAGCTGGGAGTCTGGGGGAGCTGGGGAAGGTGGGGACACGGGCACCTCTGGGAGGCAGAGGGCCGGGCACGTCCTTGTGGGGCTGGGCACGCGTGGTCCCTTGAGTGTGAACGGTTTAATTATAGTTTATATTGAAGTTTAAGAAATTATAGTTTAATTGAAGTATATGGTTCGGTATTACGTGCGTTCACAAGGTTATACGGCCATTACTGTCATCCCTCTCCAGGACTTTTTTGTTTCCCCAAACTGAAATTCTGTGCCCATTAAATCCTGACCCCTCCTCCGCCCGCCCCCCTGCAGGGTGGATTAATTCGGCTTGGGTGTGGGGCCCCAGGATCACCAGGCGAACCGTGGAAAAGCTCCATTCCCTTGATCCCTGTGCCCCTTTCATCCGGTATCCAGGCTCCCGGCTCAGGTGGCCCGGGGCCATTTAGAAATATAATCCAGGCACCCAGTCGGGCAATTCCGTGTAGACTCCCCCATCCTCCCGAAGCATTGTGGACGGTAGTGTGCGGACCAGAGGTGCTGAGTGGATGGTGTCATGTCCCTCCATGGAGAGGTGCTGCCTCCCCTAATAGACTGACCCAGGTCGGGGGGGGACCCCACGGGTGCACTGGGGGTGGGGAGGCTCCTCGACCTCCCCTCACCCACCCCACCCCCGACACAGCCCCGGGCTAAGAGTCCAAAGAGGAATCGGGAACTGGCATTGGAAACGAGGAAACATCTGGGCAGGCACCTTTTGAGGAGCCCACGTGGAAGGTGGCGTTGCCCGGCTGAGCCTCCGTGGGCACCTTTGGCTGAAAGGCTGTGAGGAGGCAGCGGTTTTCAATTCCTCGCCGCTCAGTGTCCCTCCAGTCTTGTCTCTATTCTAGAGAGATCTTTCTACACTGTAAACCCGGTTCCAATCCCTCCCAGAAGACTTCTCGCTTCCCAGCCCTTGCGTCCTCCTCCTCCAGGAAGTCTTCCTTGGATGCCCCGCCCCTGTGCTCCCCCAACCGACCAACCCTTGCTCCGACCAACCACTTAGGGTAAAATTGCCCATAAAGACGAACTTAACTGACAAGTGATGAAACCACAGTCCTCCCCCAACCCCCAGGCGGGGCTGACCCTCTCCGCTGTCCTCCGGGCGGGCTCTGAGTCCCTGTGACCAGAGCAATGAGCAGCCACACTTATCTCCAGTGAAGTCTCTTTAAATCGAAAACTCTTGTTTTCTAGAAAGGGCCGGGGAGACGGAGCGGCCCCGCGTTAACTCCTCCTGGGAGGCGGTCTGCAGTCTCTGGGCCAGCTTGTCTCTCTTCCTCTCCTTCCTGCAGGATGGCTTGCGCACTTGCAGGGCACAGAGGTCCACTAGTGTGGGTCCCGGGGTGTCCCAGGACCCTTGCTCACTCCTCAGAAGAGCAGGGTGCTTCTTACCCCTCTGAGACACCTGTCTCCCCTCACCCGGCACCTCTCTCCAGACAGACTTTCCTTGGCCAGATTTTCAGCCTAAGCATTCACCGGATTCATTGGTTTGTTTATTCCTTCCTGAACACAGCAGGGGCTTATCGGGCCAGATGCTGTCCCGGCTCTGGGCTTTCAAAGATGCCTGGGCCTATCCTCACGGGCCCGGTTGGAAGGAGGTGACTCAGGACAGTGCAGAGTGGCGGGGGTTGAAGCAAGGGGTGGGGGAGCACAGGGGCGCGGCATCCAAGGAAGACTTCCTGGAGGAGGAGGACACAAGGGCCGGGAAGTGAGAAGTCTTCTGGGAGGGATTGGAACCAGGTTTACAGTGTGGAAAGATCTCTCTAGGAAAGAGACAAGACTGGAGGGACACTGAGCAGAGAGGAGATGACCTCAAGATGCGAGGTGAGAAATGACGGGCCTTGAGCGAGGGGGCTGCGTGTGGTTCAGGAAGGAGTTGCCGGACCCACAAGTGCAGAAGGCAGATGCTGCCAAGAAGAAACGATACGTAGCAGAACGCTCACTCACCGCGCCTCGGTTGATCCTACCAGGAACCCTGGGAGGGAGGCATTTTTATTTGTCTTTTCCCGAGGAGAAAAACGAAATTCCTAGAGGCTTATGACTCCCCCGAGGTTAGCAACAGAACTGGGACTGGAGCCCAATCTCTGCTGGCAGCCGGGGCTCGGGTTTCGGGGATGTCTTTGTGGTCCGACCATCCACCACCGTGCTGGAGACGCAGGAGAGCTTAGCGGGTGGGAGTGGGGGGAGGGGGAGGGCTCTGGAGCCCCACTGCCTGGGTCCCAATCCCAGCTTCACAGCCTCCTGGCTGTGCAACCCTGGCTAAATTACTAAACCTCTCTGTTTTCCTAGCCTAGAAAGAGGGGAGCAGGAGAAGAATGAGTCTGATCTCCCAGATGAAAGGATTTAAATGAATTAATAAGCTGAGACCGTGCAGAATGGTTCCTTGTTCAAAATGTCAGCCCCGTCAAGGGACAAAGATGATGAGGGCTCGTGCCTTAGAACGTCAGCGCGGAGCCATTCTCCCAGGGGAGAGCTGTGTGTGGCTCAGCTGGCCTCTCGGCGGCCGAGGTGTTTGGGGCAGGGGCCACGGCTGTGGTCGGGGTTCGGGCAACCAAAGGAAGCCCCCGTGACTTTGTTGGCACCACGTGTGGCCACAGAGGGACACCTTGCCTAGAAACCAACCACAAATGTAACGTGGGGAAGTAATCCTCTTACGGTGCCCGTAGCAGCGACCGGACCCACCTACAGTTTGTACTTTAGGGTTGTTAATTGGCTTTCCCAGGCCCCGATTCCTGTGGGAGGAGAAGCCACCGCCTTCCTGGTTTCTGCAAGGAAGGGATAGGGGGTTCGTGCAGGGAATCGGGGGTGGGAGGTGGTGTCTCTCTCTAGGTATCTGCTGCAGCCCGGCACAAAAATGATGCTTCTTTCGGGAGCATCAGTTTTACTGGAGGAGTTTTTTTGGGGGGGAGGGTGGGGGGGCAGAGGGTGAGAGAAAGCCCGTGCTTGAAAGGAAATGACAGAGGTATCCTGGGGAGTAGAAGGCGAAAATCTGCTCCCTACGTAAAAATACCACCAAATATTTCATGAAGTCTCCAGGCTGTGGGAGCCGTTTCCTGTGATGGCTCCAGACCCCTGCGGTCTGTGCTCATTCCGGGTTATTTCAACAACAACGGCAAAAGCTGACAAAGGCTGCCCTGCCTTAGAAGTCCTGGGTTTGAGAGTCCCGTGTGGTGGTCCAGTTGGAGAGGGGAGTCACACGGGAGCTGGTCGAGTCGGGGAGGGGACCCTCGGCCACTGTTACGTATATAGATAAGAAATGAGACAGACACTGGGTGTTCGATTTTTGCATTCTCCTCTCGACGCTTAGCAGGGGAAGCTGGGTGAGGCTGGGGTGCACCGGCTGGTGGGGAGCAGGCACAGGGAAAGACCCCCCCCCCCACTTCCTGCTGCCCTTTTCTGCAGGGCACAGCCGACCCCTGATGTCCCCAATCCCCGTCACACACAGCCTCCCCTGACACCTTTCCATCATGGCCTTGTCATCAGTTACCATAAACGGCATTGAAAAGGCGCAGCTTCTGTCAGTGTGTGCAGGGGACAACGTACGCTGGGGACAGTGTACGCAGCGCCCCCCTCCCCAGCTTCTGATGGTGGCCGGCAGAGCATGAGCAAAGAGAACGCAAAGACGCCCAGGCTGGTACTTTTCCACCTGGCTTGAATTGGCTCTAGGAGCCCGAGATGTGCCCAGAGAGCTCATCAGTCGTGGCCTTTTGCCATCGATGAGCCGTGACCTTGTCAAAGCTCCTCCCCTACCCTGCCTGAGGCTGCTCTTCATGTGGATCCCTGAAGGGGCTCACTGGGAGGTCTCCTGGACCACGCATCCAAGGGAGGTGGGACTCCAGGGGAGGTGGGTGGCTGCTGTGGGGTCCCCACAGAAAGGGGGGCTTTTCCACGCCAGGCTTGGCTCAGGGGCTCAGTACAGACTTACTGAATGAGCGATCTAAATGCCTCCTTGTGTCCCGCAGGGGGGTGGGTTTTCAGGCTGAGCCGGGGCTCCTGCGTGGTGGGCAGGGAAGTCCAATGCCAAGATTTTACACGGGCAGCGTGGCCGTGTCCTCCGGGCTCCAGTGACATGACCCAAAGGCTCTGGCACTGGGTCACCAGAGGAAAGCTTCTGTGTAAATGATCTAGCAGGCTGGGTGACCCTGGGGGGCAGGGCTGGGCATCTCTGTGGGCCAGGAGCCAGTCCGCAGAGCTGAATTCTATCTTCTGAGGCAGGGCCTTCTGCTCCAAACACGGAAGACACCTTGAGGACCATAGTGGGCATTGATGGCGATTTGTGAACGCTAGATAAAGGTGCCCCCTCTGGGCGGGCGCAGGCCTGCGGGGAGCACATTTGTGCAAATCAACAAAAGGTGCCCCTTCCGAGTGGCAAGCAGCCCAGGTGAGGGGCACAGCCTGGCAAGCTAGCCCGGGCTGGATCTCAGTCCTGTTTCCTCTCGTTGAGGTCTCTTGGGCAGTGGAAAACTTACACGACTGGACATGGCCACCCCGTTCACTTCCTTTCCAAGTCTGCCAGCGCTCATGTGCCAGCCTCGCTTTCCTTTATGGTGCCCCCCCCCATGTTTATCCTGGGCTGTAAGAACTGGGGGGGGGGGGGGCTCCAGGAGCCCCAGACTCGAGGCTGGTTGGGAAGGTGGGGGTCTGCTGCCTGTGGGCCCCTCTTGGGGCTCAGGCTCTGAGGGGCTCTTCTCTCAGTAACTTAGGGGTGCCGCCAGGCCGGGGGAACTGCCCGCTCACCATGCCCCTGCCTTTTGACCTCATCTACACCGACTACCACGGCCTGCAGCAGATGAAGCAGCATATGGGATTATCCTTCAAGAAGTACAGGTGAGTGAGCTCTGGCGGGTGGTGCCGACACTGGCCCCAGGGTGGGGGGACTGCCTTGTCCCTGGACCATGCGGTCGCGGTCGGTCAGGGGAAGCCTCCCCCGGCCTCTGTCTCCCCTCCCCCACCACTGGCCTTCTTGGAGGAGCTCTGCCCCGCCCCCCCTGCTTCCTCAATTAATACTCGGAGTGGGGGGCTCCCTTCACTGCCCCTCTGCTGCAGGGCAGCCTGGGGGCGGGGCTCAGAGGTGACCTGGATGGGGTGGGCAGGGGAATCGAATCATCGCGGGGAGGAGTGGATGGAGTGGCACACTCCAGGGGGGCCACGACCTCGGCTTGTGGGGGCTCAGCACCCCCTCCTCCGCCCTCCCTCCACCCCACTCCCCTGGGTTTGGGCGAAGGCCAATGCCGTCGCTCCGGCTCCCGGCTCCCGTCTCTGCAGCCAGCGGGATATTGGGTTTAATTTAGCACCGAGAGCCCTGCTATTTATTACATTTGCTCCAGTCCCATTGACTGTCCCGCATGATTTTATTAGGGAAAAAAAAGTGACAGGCACTGTTATTGCTTTTATTATTAATGCGTGTTCTTCATGCGCTCGGTGCCGCTGCCTCCCACCCCCGGCCCCTCCTCTGGGGGAATAGTGCCGACCTCAGCAGTTTGTGGACAATTCTGGGTCACCGGGAAGGAAGGGGGGGGTGAGGGAGCTTCCTGGAGGGGTGTCTGAGTCTCAGCAGTTTCCTTCCGGTGCCCACGCCCAGGGGTGGGACAGACAGAGGGAGAGGTTTTGGGGCCGAGACAGAGCCTCCGCCCGGCTGGGAGGTGTACCTGAAGTGGCCAAGCTGGCATTGCCTTCCCCAGATGTGGAAAGAACTGGACGGTTCTGGAAGGTTCCAGTAGGCTCCAATATTCGGGATAATGGTAGTGGCTGGTCCCCCCGGGCCCTGCCCTCTGCATCGCAGCCCAGACAGGCCAGGCGCATCCTGGGGGTGTCAGGCTCCTGAGCAGGGGGGCTGTGTACTCGAATGACTGCTGCTCCCTGCTCAGGAAAGTGCAAATCCTACAGATGGCCCCCCCCCCCCCCGCCACTAGGCTCCCTTGGGGCAGCCGAAATAACGAACAGTTCCTGACTGAGTGGTCTATGGTTCACACAACCCTGGGACAGGTGGGCTTTTGTTATCCTCACTTGACTGATGGTGGAGCTCACCCAGAGAGGTTAAGGCGCTTGCCTGGGGTCACACAGCTAGGTAGTGTCTGAGCCCAAGCTCTGACCACAGTTGCAGTAGCACCCGGCCACTGGCTGGTTACAGTGCCCCTGCTGGGGCAACCCAGCCCAGGGAGACACAGGAGGTGGCTGACCCTGGTTCCTGGTACCCACCCCCCCCACCCCCGGGGCGGGGAGCAGATGCCGAATCCGGGTCATTGACACCTTCGGGACAGAACCCGCATACAACCATGAGGAATACGCCACGTTGCACGGATACCGGACCAACTGGGGCTACTGGAACCTCAACCCCAAGCAGTTCATGACCATGTTCCGTGAGTGTCCCAGGCACAGGATGTGGTGGTGGGTGGGGGGGGGGGGGCGGTCAGGGGCAGTTGGGGCCTCCTCGTTGCTCTCAGGGGTGCATGGGAGGAGCAGGGTCCCCTATTCCTCCCTGGCTTTCCTTCCCCGGGCCAGTGTGGGAGCAGGGCAGGCCCAGGCACCTGCCTGCCCCAGGAAAGCCTTGTTCCCCCTTCAGCAAATGTGTGACCCAGACAGGAAGTATCTTGTGGTGTCTGGGGAGCAGGCAGCGAGGAGGGAGCAGCCTGGAGGGAAGGGCAGGGGTGGGGGCTTCCAGCCGGGCTTGGGAGAAACGTGGTGACCTTTCCAACACGGAGGGAGTGGCCTTTGCCTCCAGAATCACAGGCTGCTCTCAGAGAGATGCTGAGCACACGTTCCAGAACAACGAGGATTCAGTGACCTTGTAGAAAGAGAGGCCAAAAGTATACTGGGGAGCTCTAGGGGGTGGCGAAGGGGCAGGACAGGCAGGCTCTTCTAAGTGGAGGGACCAGATGAAATGAAGGCAGATGTGGAAAGAAGTGGAAGGTTCTGGAAGGTTCTGGAAGGTTCCAGTAGTCTCTAGCATTGGGGATAATGGGAAGTAACCCTGGGGGCTGGAGTCCCTGTGGAAACCCTCTGACAGTGGGTGCCAGGCAAGGAGTGCGGTTAGAGCTAAGCCTTAGAGCTATTTTTAATGAGACTCTAAAATATATACACACGCTGACCTGCCCTCTTACCTGCAGCGTGGTGAAGATAATTTAATCTTTTCTTGACAACGAAGGGTCAATTCACTCTGGCTCTGGCGCGCACGAGCCTGCCCTTCGGGGTTGGCAGAGGTGTGCGGAGCTGGGTCCCCTTGCTAAGTGGCCCCTTCTGCTGTCACTGTTTGATGTGGTGCTTTTTCTCCTCATTGGGCAGCTATCAGCTGTCACATTTAATTGTTGTCAGTGTAGCTGCCTCCAGCAGCGTCTTGCACAGCTAATTTGTGGCTCTTTGAAGGCTCTGGGTTGGAAAGCCAGATAAGCACCTTTGTTAGGCTGTATCTAAATTCAGAGCAAACTAGGTTCCGAGCAGGGTCCCAGGAACGTGCGTACAAGTAAAGTACCCGCTATTTATTTCGTCTGTCAAATTAATGCGCCTCTTTGGGGCGCTTAGGGCCCTTTTTTGTCTTCATCTCCAGGTTCTAGGACACATTAGTGGCAGATGCAATTTCTCGGCACATAGGTGATGGCTTGATTGGATCCCAGAAGGTTGGGAAGGTGGGATGGTTCCTTGGAGCCCAGAGGAGGAAACTGAGGCCCGGAGGTCTGAGGCCACATGGCTCTGTGGGGACCAGACTCTGGAGGGAAAGGAGGTGGGGATAGTGGTAAGGGGCAGTGGTAGAGGAGAGGGGGAAAGAGGATATGGGTTAAGAGGCTTCTGCAATAATCAACACTGAAAAAATGGAGGATTTATGTGGGGTGGGGCCCGCTGGATGTGGAGTTCCAAACCTGGAGAACTCCTACTCATCCTCTAAAACCCCAACTCAAATGCCTCCTTTATTTATTATCACTTCCACTGATTTCTTTCATCTTATGTGGGTGCAATATATTCACCTGTTTTTATAACTTATTTTATTAATTAAAAAAATTTTTGTTACGTTTTATTATGTATTTTCGAGAGACAGAGACAGAGCATGAGCAGGGGAGGATTAGAGAGAGAGGGAGACACAGAATCCGAAGCAGGCTCCAGGCTCCGAGCTGTCAGCACAGAGCCCGACGCAGGGCTTGAACTCAAACTGTGAGGTTGTGACCTGAGCCAAAGTCGGACACCTGACTGACTGAGCCACCCAGGCGCCCCTGTTTTTATAACTTTTAAATCCATTTCTACAAAAGCGTTTATTGAAGTATATTAGAGTTACTTGCTTATACACTGATCTCTCCCTGATAGATTATGAACCACTCAGAAGGGGGGCCACTGACTGATTTATCTCCCTGGAGCCTATCAAGGTCCTCGGAAAATGTTAATTGAGTGAATACATTAAAGAAACAGAACAAAAAAGGAAGAGAGAGTTTGCGGGTCCAGGGCAGAATTCATGAGCAGACTCATTTCCGCATCTAGCCAGGCGGTGTCGCCAGGGTGGCTGCCTCTCTGGGCTCACCCTTGCCCCTGCCCCCACGAGCTCTTGGCTCTTGGTCTCTGTTACTCTAATTGATTGGACACTTCCCTGTCCCACTAGTTTGCTAACTGGGCAGGGTTGGTAGAACGAGGGATTCTTCGGCTGGGTGAGTAGGGAGGAAATGGCAATTAGGGGAGAGGCCTGGGGTGTCTGTGGGGGGAAGCAGGTGGGGCCAGAGGGAGGGAGATGGGGCTGGGCGGGCAAACTGGGGAGAGAGGGTCTGGTCTGTCCTCCTGGCCCCCCCCCCCCACCCCCTGCTTCCCAATCTGGGTGGAGCCTCCTCAAACAGGAGAGCTGCCCGCATCCTGACCATCACAGAAATAACTCCAGGCTTCCGGGGCCCCTCCTTATGCTCCGGAAGCTCTAGAAGAAAGATCATTTTGTCCTGGGGTCAGCAAAGGCCCTTCCTTACAGCTGGAGTTTCAGACCCAAGAATCCACGAGCTTTCTGGGGGCACTTAGGCAGGAAATCTTTCCTTCTACGATGCTCCAGACATTGATTGTGACGGTTTGTGGGTAGAAATAGTACGTGAAATCGACACATTGGATCGAAGTATACAGCTCCGTGTCAGAAATGCTAAAATGTGAAAACACGCTCGCGGGATGAAGAAATGGCATCTTTGGGCCAGGGCTGTTCTGGGAAATCGAGGACGCGCGGTCTCTGCCAACCTGCTCGCCGCAGCCCCTCCCACCCCGGAAGGCGGAGTAGATGTCACTGGGCTCAACAAATGTTCTGTCCAAGGTCCTGAACACGGTGGGAGGGACCCTTGCGAATCCGTGGCACGGGTGCTGAGGCAGACAGAGCCAAGTAGCACGACCGGGGGAACAGCGAGAGAGGCTGAAGTGCATTCCCTGCCCCCGGTGCGCTGGGTTCTGGGGACAAGGGAGCAGGTCAGAGTGTGGGCTGTACCGTAGCAGAGGCAGAACCACGGGGGCGGGGCCGCAAAGAGAGGGGCACCGGAGCCCAGAGGAGGAGGTGCCATATGACTGGGGCCCTGAGGCCGGAGAGCATTTTCTCATCCACGTCAGGGGAAGAAGGCGCTCCAGGCAGAGGAAACGGCTGGGGCAAAAAACTTGGAGGTGGGGGAAGTCAGGATGTGTCCATGCACTCATGAGCCAGCGCGCCAGGCTCCCCCTCCCAGGTGCCGGGGACAGCGAGGTGAGCCGAGCAGAGCCCCTGCCCTCACGGGGCTTACATTCTGACACCGATAAACGATCCATTTGATGTATAATATCATGTTTGGGTCAGCAAGTGCAGGGTAAGGGACAGAGAGTGACCAGGGCCAGGAGGGACCTCTCGGCAGGGTCTTGTAGGCAAAGCATGCACGGAGAGAGGGAGCGCACCGGGCAGGGTCCCAGGAGGTAGTGAGAGATCCTGCCGAGGGGGGCACGGGGGCAGACCCTGGAGACTGTTGCAGGGACTTTGGCTGTTGGGGCCACCGCAGGGTTTTGTGCAGACGGACCTGGTCTGACCTAAATTTGAAAGGATTGCTCAGGACCTAAAATTGAAAGGCAGGGCCAAGAGAATGGCAGAAATGGGGGTAGGCAGCCGTCACAGTGGCCCAGGACAGAGAATGGTACCCGGGCCAGGGCGGCAGTGATGGAGGCCGTGTGGGACATCCCACCAGGTACCGGCTCTGCTGATGGGTGTCGCCAATGAGAGAAAAGGGGAGGAGCCAAAGCCTCAGTTCCTGAGCGAACCTGGGAGGGAGGACTCTGACCAGGACAGGGTCCTGGCTGTGCCTGTCTGCAAATGAGCAAGGGGACCTCCCAGGGTTCCCTCTGCTCACGGCTCCGCTCTGGGGAGGGAGAGGCCCGGGGCCAGGACACTGATGGGTGCTCTGCCCCTCCTCCACCAGCCCCCTGTCCCCGTCCCTGTCTAACGGGGCCCCCTCTGATGGGGCCAGTGCAGGTGGACCCGGGGCGCGTCCGTGGCTGTGTGGCAAGCCCCTTCCTGACCCCGTGGTCTGGCCGCAGCTCACACCCCGGACAACTCCTTCATGGGCTTCGTGTCCGAGGAGCTCAACGAGACGGAGAAGCAGCTCATCAGAGGCGGCAAGGCCAGCAACATGGCTGTGGTGTATGGCAAGGAGGCGAGTATCTGGAAGGTGAGAACGCCCCCCCCCCTCCAGAACTCCCACCCCCCAGCTCTGGATGTAGAACTGTCCCCCACTGATGGGTCAGAAAAGAGAGGTCCCTAATTGCCACTGAAAATACCCAGCCTGGGGGCTGCTAACCTGCCCCCCTCGGCCCCTGCTGTGCAACGCTCTCAGATGTCCTTTATCAAGGACTGTGCTTGACCCGCCACCCTCCCTAGGAACAGATCCATAAACACTGTGAGCCCGGCAAGGGGGCTTAGGCTTGACTTGGGGGTGCTGCGGGGTGGGAGGCAGGAGTGCAGAAGGCAGGAGAGGCTAAGGATTAGAGCCCCATCTTCCGGCTGGGTCCCTGGGGAAGCGGTACCTGTACGGGAGGTCATGTGCTCACTGCTCACTGACCTGTTCTCTCTCCTCTTTTCTCTGTGCCCTCCTGGCAACGAGGCAGCTCCAGGTACGGTGACCGCTTGCCATAGTCTCTCCTCCTGTTCCTCTCTGTTCTCAATAGGGCATCCCCTGGCGGGGGGGGGGGGTGCTCTCGAGTCCCCCCCACCCCCCACCCCGACCCCACAGGGGGTAAGGGGGAGGGATGGAGGTCATTCTCATGTGATGCCAAATGAGCAAGCTGCCACGGGGCGCTTGGGCCGGGGGTAGCACCGGCCGCATCTGCTTCTTCCAGAACAACACTGCCAAAGAGCTGCCCCAAGAGATGAGAGGTTATGAAGTCTGGGAAGAGAAAGGGTTTATCTGTAGCTCAGGCGTCTCTGTGATAGCCGGGAGCGACGCTGTTCTGCAAGGGACCTCAAAGAAGCTGCCTCCCAAAAAAGACATCTTTGCTCTGGTCTCTGTGGCTGGGGGAAGCCGGAGGTGGCTTGATGAACAGCATGAAAGGAGCATCCTGGGACAGTCGCCACCCAGGGTTCAGGAGGACAGGTGGCACAGGAGTGCGGGACGGGGGAGACTGAGGCCCTCACCTCCTCACGGGAGCAGCAGCCGGGATCAGGGAGAGGCCTTGGGTGAATTTTGTGCCAGAGGCCCATCTTATCTGGGTGCCCGGAAAACAGGGCTTGTGGCTCAGACCTGGGTGCTATTTTGTGAGAGCGTGTAGCCCAGGGAGCAGGAGTAGGGCAGGGGTGGGTGGAAGAGGGGCAGAAGGTAGGCCTGCCCTTGCCGCTGGAGGAAACAGGCCGGTTATCAGAAGACCCGTCTGGGGGGCCTTTTCAGACGGCAGGTTGGGCAACCCATGGATAAATCGTGAAGTTAGCCCAGAGCTCTGGAGTTTTTCTGCTCGGCTTTCCTGAGGAATAATTGACAAGGGAGAATTGTATGGTTCTTAGGTTGTACAACACGATGGCTTGATATACACATGTATTGCGAAAGGAACGCTACGATCAAGCTGATTAACACACCTTCACCCCACATAGTCATCTGTGTGTGCGTGCGTGCGTGCGTGTGGTAAGAGCACTTAAGATCCGTTCTCTCAGCAAATGGCAAGTGCACCCTACAGCATTATTAACCACAGTCACCACACTGTTCATTAGGTCCCCGAACTCACGCGTCCTCCAACTGAAAGCTTGTTGCTTTGACCAGCCTCTCCCTGCTTTTGAACCCCCAGCAGCCACCATATCTATGAGCTCCCCTCTTTTAGATTCCACATATAAGGGAGGTCATGCCGTATCTGTCTTTTTCTAACTTAGAGAGTCTCAAATAGCCTTTTGAAATGAAATAGGACCACAGAAACTGTAGAATAAAGGAATATCAGAGGACCTTTATGTATTAAGAGGAAATGTAGTTTTAAGATTTTATTTTTTTATTTTATTTGCTTAAAATTTTTTATGTTTTTTTTTTTTTTGAGAGGGAGAGAGACAGAGACAGAGAGTGTGAGTGGGGGAGGGGCAGAGAGAGTGGGAGACACAGAATTCGAAGCAGGCTTCAGGCTCCGAGCTGTCAGTGCAGAGCTGGACACGGGGCTTGAACCCATGAACCGTGAGATCATGACCTGAGCCTAAGTCGGATGCTAAACTGGCTGAGCCACCCAGGTGCCCCTTAAGATTTTATTTTTTAAATAATCTCCACATCCTGGCACAAAAACAGTCACTCAGATCAATGGAACAGAATAGAGAACCCAGAAATGGACCCACAAACGTATGGCCAACTGATCTTTGACAAAACAGGAAAGAATATCCAATGGAATAAAGACAGTCTCTTCAGCAAGTGGTGCTGGGAAGACTGGACAGCGACATGCAGGAAAATGAACCTGGACCACTTTCTTAGACCACACACAAAAATAAACTCAAAACGGATGAAAGCCCTAACGTAAGACAGGAAGCCATCAAAATTCTCGAGGAGGAAGCAGGCAAAAACCTCTTTGATCTCGGCTGCAGCAGCTTCTCACTCAACACATCTCCAGAGGCAAGGGAAACCAAAGCAAAAATGAACTATTGGGACCTCGTCTAAATAAAAAGCTACTGCACAGTGAAGGAAATCATCAGCAAAACTAAAAGGCAACCGACGGAATGGGAGAAGATATTTGCAAACGACGTATCAGATAAAGGGTTGGTATCCAAAATCTCTAAAGAGCTTATCAAACTCAACACCAAAAACACAAAGAATCCAGTGAAGAAATGGGCAAAAGACGTGAACAGACACTTCTCCAAAGAAGGCATCCACATGGCCAACCGACACATGAAAAGGTGCTCAACATCACTCACCATCAGGGAAATACAAATCAAAACCACAATGAGATACCACCTCACACCTGTCAGAATGGCTCACATTAACAATTCAGGCAACCACAGATGTTGGCGAGGATGCGGAGAGAGAGGATCTCTTTTGCACTGCTGATGGGAATGCAAGCTGGTGCAGCCACTCTGGAAAACAGTATGGAGGTTCCTCAAAAAACTAAAAATTGAACTACCCTATGACCCAGCAATTGCACTACTAGGCATTTATACACGGGATACAGGTGTGCTGTTTTGAAAGGGCACATGCACCCCCATGTTTATAGCAGTGCTATCGACAATAGCCAAAGTATGGCAAGAGCCCAAATGTCCACCGATGGATGAATGGATAAAGATGTGGTGTATATATATACAATGGAGTATTACTCGGCAATCAAAAAGAATGAAATCTTGCCATTTGCAACTACGTGGATGGAACTAGAGGGTATTATGTTAAGTGAAATTAGTCAGTCAGAGAAAGACAAATATCATATGACTTCACTCATATGAGGACTTTAAGACACAGAACAGATGAACACAAGGGAAGGGAAGCAAAAATAATATAAAAACAAGGAGGGGGACAAAACATTAGAGACTCTTAAATATGGAGAACAGAGGGTTACTGGCAAGGTTGTGGGAGCAGGGGGATGGGCTAAATGGCTAAAGGGCATTAAGGAACCTACTCCTGAATTCATTGCTGCACTATATGCTAACTAACTTGGATGTAAATTAAAAAAAAAAAAGAGAGAGAGAGAGAGAGAGACTAGATTTGAAAAAAAAAAAAAAAATCTCCACACCCAACATGGGGCTTGAACACATGACTCCGAGATCAAGAGTCACATACTCTATCAACTGAGCCAGCCAGGTGCCCCAAGAGTACATCTTGTTTTGTGAAACTGAAAATTTATATGCATGTGGTGCCTGGGTGGCTCAGTCAGTTAAGCGTTCGACTTCAGCTCAGGTCATGATCTCGTCGTTGGTGGGTTCGAGCCCCATGTCAGGCTGTGTGCTGACAGCTCAGAGCCTAGAGCCTGCTTCGGATTCTGTGTCTCCCTCTCTCTCTCTCTGCCCCTCCCCTGCTCACCCTCTCTGTCTCTCTCTCTCTCAAAAATAAATATTAAAAAATTTTTAAAAATAAAGTTTACATGCATGCGTGCACATGCACATGCATAACGCACACACGCATTATACACACACACATAATGCACATTCACGACACATACATGCGTTTACACGTGCATACCCACATAAATACGTGTGTGTACGGGTGAAAAAAGGCTGCTGAACAATATATATAACGTGAACCGTTTGTGCATGTGTTGTAAGGAAAATGTAACTATGCTTTGAGTGCATCAAAGATCTGAAAAGGTACACAAGAAACCGTTCTAACAGCTGCCTCCTGGGACAGAATGAGGAAATTGATGGGGGTGTAGAGACATTCTCTCTACACTTTACATTCATGGTTTGCTTCTCCTTCTGTGAGCATATTTAGTTTTATGAGACGTAGTCCTTTTATATTTAGTGTGGTTTCTGATATATTTGGCTTTGGATCTACCATTTCACTAGCTGACTTCTATTTCTTTTTCTTTCCTGTTCTTCCACGTTCTTTCCCCTCTCATTTCTTGTCTTCTTTTACACCGATCTGTGTTTTGAAACTCACGCCCTCTTAGCTGACTCATACTCTCTGCTAGTCTTGTAGTGCCTGCTGTAAAGATGATAACATGCATCCTTGACTTATCACAGTCTAGATAAGTCAGTACCTTTACCTTTTATTAGAGAATAAAAGAACATTAAAGTGTTTAATTACATCCCCCCAACGTAGGTGCTCTGATTTTAATTCCCTGAAAATGCCTTTACTTCACCCTTATTCCTAGAGGATATGTTCGCTGTGTACAGAATTCTAGCTTGGTGGTTATTTTCTTTCAGCATTACGAAAATACTGTCTTCTGGCTTCGGTCCTTTCTGTGAGCCTTGCCATTCATTCCCTTAATGGTAATCTGTCATGGGCGCCTGGGTGGCTCAGTCGGTTAAGCATCTGACTTTGGCTCAGGTCATGATCTCGCGGTTCGTAGGTTCGAGCCCTGCGTCGGGTTCTGTGCTGACAGCTCAGAGCCTGGAGCCTGCTTCAGATTCTGCGTCTCCCTCTCTCTCTGCCCCTCCCCTGTTCACACTCTGTCTCTGTCTCAAAACTAAATATACATTTAAAAAATATATAATTTATTTAAAAATTAAAAAAAAAAAAAAAGAAAGGGGGTGCCTGGGTGGCTCAGTCGGTTGAGCGTCCAACTTCGGTTCAGGTCGTGATCTCACAGCTCTTGAGTTCAGGCCCCACATTGGGCTCTGTGCTGACAGCTCGGAGACTGGAGCCTGTTTCAGATTCTGTGTCTCCGTCTCTCTCTGCCCCTCCCCTGCTCGCACTGTCTCTCTCCCTCTTTCTCAAAAATAAATAAACATTAAAAAAGAATAAAGGTAAACTGTTGTCCTCCTTTGCTCACTTTTACGACCTCTGTGTGTTTGGTTTCCAGTAGACTTACTATGGTGTGCCTCGTTGTGGCTTTTTCTTGATTTATCCTACATGGTGTTTATAGAGCTCTTGAATTTGTGGTTTGATCTGTCGTTCGTCTTAGAAGATTTTCAGTTAGTTATCTAAGTATTGCTTCTGCCTCTCTCTCTCTCTCTCTCTCTCTCTCTCTCTCTCTCTCCCCTTTGCTTCTGGGTCTCTATTTCCACATACATAGCCTCTTTGTCTCTTACATTCCTTTCTGTAATCTCCATCCGTGCGGTGTGCTTCATTCTGGATGTTTCCTTCTCTTCTTTCACTAAACGAATTCTCTCTTCAGCTGGGTCCGATCTGCGGTGAAATCCATCCATTCAGTTCCTAATTTCAGCTGCTATATTTCTCACCTCTAATATTGCCATTTGGTTTCAAAGCTCGTCTGCTATTGCCTTGACTACGTTCAGCAGACTTATCTTGAGGTCTGTATCTGGTAACTCCAGCTTCTAGAGCCTCTATGGGTCTCTTTTTATTGTCTGTTTCTCTTGGGTTTTGATCATATTGTCATGCACCCGATTCTTCTAAAAATCAAGGTGTTTACCTTTTTTCTTTAAAAATCTATTTTTGGGATGCCTGGGTGGCTCAGTCGGTGGAGTGTCTGACTTCGGCTCAGGTCATGATCTCAGTCTATGAGTTCGAGCCCCGCATCGGGCTTTGTGCTGACAGCTCGGAGCCTGGAGCCTGCTTCCGATTCTGTGTCTTCCTCCTCTCTCTGCCCCTGCCCCATTTTCACTGTTTCTCTCTCTCTCTCAAAAATAAATAAACAGTAAAAAAAAATTTTTAAATCTATCTTTAACAGGCTTTACTGAGCCTGGACGTGCAGTCTACCACACGTTTCACATGGATAGTCTCGACATACGTGTATATACGTGTGAAGCCATCGCCACAATCAGGATAGTGCCTCTGTCACCCAGGTTCCCCTCCTCCCTGCCAGACAGCCCGTGAGTTGCTTTCTGTCACCACAGGTTAGTGGAGATATCACTTTCTATGATTTTATATAAATGGGCTCCTCTGGTATATGCTCAGTTTTTGGTCTGGGTTTTCTCACCGAGTATAATTATGTCAAGATTCATCCGTGTTATCGCATGTATCAACAGTTGTTTCCTCTTTATGGCTGAATAGTTCTCCATTGTATGGAGGTACCCAGCCCATATTTTGTGTGTGTCCCTTCACCTGTTAGTGGACGTTGGGGTCGTTTTCAGTATTTGGCCGTTACAAGCAGAGCTGTTATGAACATCCACGTACAAACGTCTGTACGGACATATCCTTTCATTTCCCTTGGGTAGATCCCTAGGCGTGAATTGGCTGAATCGTAACAGTAGAACTACGTTGAACGTTTTCGGAGCCGTGGGGAGCAGTGGTCGTACTATTTTACGATTCTACCGGCAACGTGTGAGAGTTCTGGTTCCTTTGCAAATTCGTCAATACTTCCATGGCCGGTCTTTTCCATCTGAGCCATTCTGACAGATGTGCAATGATATCGTACGGTTTCTGCTTGTAGTCCCCTACGTCTGATGATGGCGGAGATATTTTTGCGGCCCTATTTGTCCTCCCTGTATCTTTTTGGGGGTCTTTTCAAAGTCAGTCCATTTAAAGAATTGGGTTGTTTGTTTTATCATTGAGTTGTTAAAGTTCTTTACACGTTCTGAATCGAGGTCCCATATCAAATACATGCTTGGCAAATATTTTCTGTCTGAGGCTTGTCTTCCTTCTCCAGAGAGCAAAGTTCTTTATCGTAATGAAGTCCAGCGTTCTATGGCTTGTGCTTCTGGTGTCGTATCTAAGAAATCTTTGCCTAACCCAAAGTCACAAGGGGTCTTCCCCAGTGTTTGATAGTTTTAGGTTTTACATTTAAGTCTATGATCCGTCGCGAATTAACTTTTGTGTATGATGCGAAGGGCAGATGAAACTTCTAATTCGTTTTCTTCCTTCGCACGTGGACGCGCAACGTTCCGTGACCATTGGCTGAAGACACGATCCTTCCTCCCCTGAAATGTCTTTGTGCCTTTGCCAAAAATCAATTGGCCATGCGCGTGCGGGTCTATTTCTGTACTCTCTGTTCTATCCCATTGATCTATCTTGACGCCAACAGCACAGGTCTTAACTAGTGTACTTTTACAATAAGTCTTGAAATCAGGTAATGTAAGTCTGCCCGCTTTCTTCTCTTGTCAAGTTGTTTCTTCTAAGCCTGCTGGGGTTTTGACTGGGATTTCATTGGTGGTGGGAGTGCTGTGGTGGTCCTTCCCCCTCCTCCTCCTTCCCCCTCCTCCTCCTTCCCCCTCCTCCTCCTCCTCCTCCTCCTCCTCCTTCATTCTGGAAAATGAATATAAAAAAATTGTAGAAATAACTCGAGGTCAAGGATGATGCCGTCTTCTTCCAGACACTCTTGGCTTGTGGCTGGGCCCCCAGCAATCTCAGATCAGTGAGAGTGATCGAGACTATTTAAGACAGATTCAGCTCCTGTAGGGGCTGCTCTAGTTCCGGCCCACCCTTTCTACCAGCGTGTAATTCCTCAGAATTCCAACCCGAAGGGTGGAGTTTCCATCAGCCCCCGACCCCCCACCGCCGCTCAACTCGGCAGACCCCAAACTCTGACTTGTCCCCCCGCTCTGCAAGGTGACCAGAAGCTCTGCTCAAGCCTCCTTGCTGCTGACTCTGGAATCAGCAGGTGCCCCTGTGGGGGAACCCTGGTCTCAGCAGCGACCTCAACAGTCTCCTGCCCTTCTTCTCTCAGATCTTGGCCTTGTAACTCTTCACGCTTTGTTAGATTTTCACCACCTTCGCACAAGGTTTTGTACTTCCACATCTCTCCCGGTCGTTCTCAGAGGCAGGGCTGATATGCTTCGCCTACTACACCATTACCCGGAGAGGAAGGTTTTTTTTACGAAAAACGTGTGCAGTTTGGAGTCTCAAAACGTGAACTGTTCATTGTCTTGATGTCCATTGATAACTTTCTTCAAGAGCCGCGGTTTACAAGACAAAACCTGGGCTGCAGCTCCTTGCTGTCTGACCTCATGGCTAGCCAGCGGGACGGAGAGAACCTGCCTTCTTTTTTCTGGCCTGTCGGCCTGCTGAGGACCTGCCCTCCCTGAACAAAACCCCTCCCTGGCCCGGCCTTCTCTATGATCGCGAAGTTCCTCTCTTCTCAGCTTCTCCTTTCCTCTCTTCTGTGAGTCTCAGAAGCCCCCAGGAAGTACAACCCAGGGGCAGATCCCAATCTTAACTCCTGATGAGATCCTACGCTGCCCATACCTCCCGGCTCAGGGCCCCGGCCATGGGGTCCTACGGGTGCCTGGTGGCTGAGCTGTTAGCTCCTCCTCTGTGCCCTGCTTCCTGTTGTCCCCCTCCCCCCAGGCTGGGCCTGTTTCCACATCGAAAGCAGAGCCTGGAGCTGGGACTCGCGTCTGGAGGGGCTGAGCCCTTGCTAGTTCGCGGGCGTTCACTCACAGGTGTCCTCCTTGAGGACGAAGGCCCTGCCTGAGCTCAGTGCCAACACATAGCAAGCGCTCCATAAAAATGTGCTCCGTGGATGGATGGACGATGGGTGGAGGATGGAGGGAGACAGAGAAGGAGGGATGAGATGACCTTGGCCCCACAGCTCCTCAGGTGTTCTTAGAGGTCATCAGGGGTTCCGGGGAGGCGAAGCGGCTTCATTTGGGTGTATTTAAATGTGAGTCCCTATACGGTTTCCTTGCAAAGGAAACACTTCCGTGGCTAAAAATAGTCCTGCAGCCTCTCGGGTCTTGTGCAAGTTCTGCAACTCACAGATGAAGAAAATCAGGACCAGAGAGGGGAGGGGCCTTGCCCGAGGTCACGCAGCTGGCTGACGGCTCCTCAGTTTCTGGCTTCCAGACCAGGGGTGTCTCTTTGGACGGCTCTGCCTTCCGCATTTGGGGCGAGGTTCCCATGTCCGACCCTCCTCTTCCAGGGGAAGGACAAGTTTCTGGGCGTCCTGAACAAGTACATGGAGATCCACGGCACGGTGTACTATGAGAGCCAGCGGCCCCCCCGAGGTCCCGGCCTTCGTGAAGAACCACGGTCTCTTGCCACAGCCTGAGTTCCAGCAGCTGCTGCGCAAGGCCAAGGTGAGCCCCGCCCCCCGCCGTCCTCACCCCCTCGGTACCGGTGCAGCCCGGTGGACTTCTGGGCCAGGCCTTGCTGTTAGAGCCGCTGAAGGCATGGCAGGCTGGGGGCATGCCCTGGCTGGAGTTCCGCGGACTCACTACTTCTGGAAGTTCTGCACCGTATTCCTGGAGCAGCAGCGGGTACAATGGGCATTGACTCTGGTGCTGGGCCCTGAGGGATCAGGGTCAGCTGAGGCTGGAGGGCCTCCAGCGAGCATTCGGGTCCTCTCCTGCTCTTCCCGCAGGCCCCCTGGATATGTGTGTCTGTGGGTGGGCTGGGCGAGGAGGAGCGGCTTTGTGCAGTCAGCAACCTGAACAACCTTACGCTGCAGCCCAGGGTTCAAAATCATTTATTGATCGCCTTCCAGCGGGGCCAGCCCCGTGAGCACTCCTGGCGCAAGTTAGGTGCTGAGTGAATCGTTTTTAGGATGCGTGGGTAAAGGTCCTTTAAGCTCAGCTGTAGGTGTGGGTCTGAAACCTCCTAAGCTTGAGACCCTCACCCTTGTCTTTTCCCCTCCAGAATCCTAGCCTGCCGCAGCAGGAACGGGCCTTTGATATAACCGAGTCGCACCTCCTCTTTCCGAATGGGGAAACTGAGGGTTAGAGAGGGGGAAGTGTGTGCCGTGGCACATGGCCGCCTCCTATGGATGCCCCCGCCCTGGCTCCCTGGGGCCCTGGGCTGCGGCGCCCAGGCTTCTCTGACCGTTGTGCCACCTGGCTTCCTCAGCTCTTCATAGGGTTCGGCTTCCCCTACGAGGGCCCTGCCCCGCTGGAGGCCATCGCCAACGGCTGCGTCTTCCTACAGGCCCGCTTTAGCCCGCCCCACAGCTCCCTCAACCACGAGTTTTTCCGAGGCAAGCCCACCTCCAGAGAGGTGAGTGGGGAGGGTCTGTCGCGGCCCCCCCCCCCCCCCCGCCGCATCACCCGGAAGAGGGAGACAGGCCTGAGGTGAAAGGACACGTGGGACAAGCTGGGGGGGGGGGGCGTCCCCTTAGCCCAGCCCGGCCAGGCAGGCACAGGGGGAGATCACTGCTCTCTCTGCCCCTCCAGCTGTTCTCCCAGCACCCCTACGCAGAGAACTTCATTGGCAAACCCCACGTGTGGACCGTCGACTACAACAACTCGGAGGAGTTTGAAGCGGCCATCAAGGCCATCATGAGAACCCAGGTGAGGCTCAGATCCAGTCAGGGCTGCCATCAGCCACCACTGCGGGTCTTAGCCGTAATTAGAAAAAGGTGCCCCTCTTGGTGAATTCAGACTCGTAAGCTTGGGCTGGGAAATTTGATGAGGGGTGGGGTGGTCCCCACTTACCAACTCGAGTTGGCGGGGGAGGAAAAAAAAAAAAAATGCCTTCGTGCTGTGAGCAACCTGCACAACCGTACATGGCAGCCCTGGATCCGGAATCATTTATTAAGCACCTTCGGAGACTGAGCCCTGTGAGCACTGCCTGCACGTGTCAGGCGCTGAGTGAATGTTTCTCAGGAGTAGCGCTTGGAGGGTCTTTGAACTCTGCTGTTGGTGTGGCTCCGTGGCCTTTTGTCCGCATGCCTCAAACTATAAACGTGCCGGCAGGTCATCTGGGGGTCTTGTTAAAATGCGGGTTGGGATTCAGCAGGTCTGGGGTGGTGCCGGGCCCAGGGCCACCCTTCGCGTAGCAAGGGGGAGAACTTTCCGGGTTTCCTTCGGCAGGTGTGTGGGCATTGCCATGTGTGGGGGCACGTGTGTGGGAGTGGTGACTGCTGACGGCCCCTTGTGCTCTTCTGGTTCCCTCATTTTGGAAAGGGGTCCGACTCTGCTCACCATGATCCCTCTGGACCTGTCTCCCTCCTTGCCCAGCACCATGTTAATTGAGCGTGCCCTCCCCCGGGAGGGGAGGGGACGCACTGCTCAGGGTCAACTTCTGGGTCTGGGGCAAACCCGGAAACCTGGCGAGCCTTCGTCTTGGTGAGGCCACCACAAATGAGTGACAGGAAACACCGGTTCCTTCTGCAAGGACAGCCATGTCCCAGGAGGACACTGCTGCCCCAGGGGAGCTGGGGACACTGCCAGACTCAAGGGCAGAGACCGGCAGGGAGAGACCCTCCACCCCAGCCCCGGGGGACTTACCGGCTTAGCTGTGGACCCAGAGCCCCGCCTGGTTGTTCTGACCGTGAGGCAGGCTTGTGTTTTCTTTAAGTTTATTTTTTGAGAGAGAGAGAGAGAGAGAGAGAGATTGAGGAAAGGGGAGGGGCAGAGAGAGAGAGGGAGAGAGAGAATCCCAAGCAGGCTCCAGCTGTCAGCGCAGAGCCTGATGCGGGGCTTGATCTCACGAACCGTGCGATCGTGACCTGAGCAGAAACCAAGCGTTGGACGTTCAACCGACCGAGCCCCCCAGGCGCCCGTGGCTTGTTTTTAATCACCCTCCTTTCACCACCAGTCACTCCCACGCGGAACAGCCTCTGTCCCCCCTCATCAGAAGCCCCCCCCCCCGAAAATCTCCGCCTCCCTGGCCTGCTCCGTTCTTCCACTGACCACACCCTCGTCCTTCCCTCCTCCTGTCTGGGGGCGATGTTTGTCTAGTAGAACATAGCTGCCCGGAAGAACACAGCTGTGTCACAGCCTGCGCCCGTCGGTAGTCGTCACGGACACGGGCAGGTCCACCTGCCAGGTGGCTGAGCCCCTGGAACCTCCCTGAGCAGTGAGGGGGTGACGCCCTCCACTCCGTTCTTCAGCGTCAGCTTGAAGGCAGTCTCTGCTGTGAGTCCCTCCAGGCCACGGACCGTCTTCGATCGGGTTCCTCCAGGAGGTGACCCGGGGGCACAAGTCGGTTATTTGGAAAGTGATCCCAGGAGGGAGGGTCCTGGAGTGACAGAATGAGACAGCGTCTAACAGAGTAGGTCACCCCAGCTGGCCCCTGGCCGTCAGTGCTGGCGGGGACCTATGGGGCAGGTCACATCCCAGCGTGACCTCCATCGCTGGGTGGATGAGGGCTGGCTGCACCTGGGGACCCTCGCAGGGCGGAGCCAGCCAGAGACAGTCGTAGTGGGCGAGGGGCTCCCCAGGCGGCCTCAACGCAGGAGAGAAGCCAGAAACTGACCGACCCCAGCCCCCAGCGGTGACACACGGCCCATTCTGCGTTCCAGGTGGGCGCGGCATGGGAAGGGCCCCCCACCCCCCATCCTCCTCCCGCTCCTCCCCTCCCCTTGAAAAGCAGTCCTCCAAGGCTTCTAACCCAGGGGACAAGGTCAGGGGGTAGACGACATACCAGCAAGCCCACCCCCAGGGCTCAGGTCCTGCCCAGCCTGCAGGAGACATTGCTAAGCTCAGCGAGCACGTGGAAATATGTTCCGTCCGCAGAACAGAGCCGGGCTGTGGGGGGGCCTGTGAGTGAACGTGCTCTTCGGTTCGTGGGTTCTTTCCGGTCGGACACACAAGAAATCGGTAACGGACGCTGCCCTGGGGAAGGGCCTGGGTGTCCGGGATGGGAAGAAAACTTACCTTTCACTGTTTTTTCTTTTGACCTTTTTGTTTTGTTTTGCTCCAACGTCTGTTTAATTCTGGGAATGAGTTAATTTTAAAAAAATCACAATAACAAAAGGGTCAAGGAACCAAGGTTTTGCCTATCTGCCAAGCGGAGGCTGACAGGTGGTCCCCCGAACCTGCCCGCCTGCTGCCTTCAGCCCCTCCGGGGGTCCCGCCACCCCCGCCTGCCTCCCGGGCGGTTCACACCCCCTTACTTACCCAAGAATCGCCCGGGCAGGCGTTTCAAATGCAGGTTCCTGGGCCTGGCATCTGATATTAAAGGACCGGGTGTGGCCCTCGCAGCTGCCTTTTCACCAAGCAGCCTGGGTATGTGTCCCAGTGCTATTTTGGAGAACTGATTTGGGGACAGCTGGCAGGAACCGAGAGGACCAATGAGGGCCACCCTCAGGGGACACGGCTTGTGCGGCAAGTCCCAGGGCCTTTCACAGGGAGCGGGGGGAAGAAAGGTGAGGAACGGGGAGGAGGTGAGAGAGACCCCTGTCACCCCCCCCCCCCCCCCCCGCTCTCCTTACAGCACCTTACAGGACCAGCACCTGCCAGCCTGTCGAGACGGATTACACCGTGAGCGCCTGTAATTAGGCCTAATGGGGGTAATTTCCAGGCAGGCTGGCTCCTCTGGTGGAGATTCATGGCAGGCGGGCCGCGGCTGGCTGATGCGAATTACGTGTGATGTGGGCTTCAAAGCGCAGCGCAGCGGGAGTGACTCGGGGTGGGGGGGCTGCTGCTGTGGAGCAGGCCGAGTGGCATTTGGAGGGGAACCCACTCCTCCGGGCCCCGATCTCTAGCCGGGGCTTGAGGTCTTGTACCCTGGAGGTGTCCAGGGAACCTCTGGGCAGGAGCCGGCTGCCGGGGCCATCGTGGCCATCAGCCCCAGGGCTGAGGGCAGGTCGGGGCCGGGCCGTGCACCGCTTGGGGCCGCAAAGGCTGCCGGTGGCTGGGGTATAGGACCTGGATTCTCTCGGGTTCTGGAACCGCCCGTGGATGAAGAATAGTGCTCTCAGCTGCAGGGAGAACTGGGGACAAGACCAGATGGGTGGGCTCTCGTCCCGAGAATCTTCTGGAGGCCTGCACTCGTTTCAAGGGGAGCAGCTGCTGTTTCCCCAGGCACCCCCCTCAGCCTGAGTGTCGGGGATGCCCCCCAGGCAGAGGGCCCAGGATGGGCCTCCAGCCCTTCGAGGTGGGCTCTAACGGGAAGCAGGACCCCCCCCCCCCCCCCCGTGCACCTGAGTGGGCTTCCGGTGCTGCCCGTCTGTGACGGGGGAGGGAGGCCGCTCCCACTGGGGCAGAGCTGTCAGATCACGCACCTGGAGCTGCAGGCAGGGAAAGGGCGTAAGTTGGAATCAGGCTGGGCCGGGTGTGGCGCCCACGCCCCCACGTACACACAACACACACACACACACACGTATGAGATGCGCTTTGCATCTTATACACACACGTGCACACACACTGGGGAGAAGCGAGGTCGGAGGCCCGAACAGGCTGCTCTCTGAGTCTGGGATGGGCTATCCCCACGGCCCCGTCCAGCCAAGGTGGCTGTGTGCCGGGGTCACCAGAGAGGGCTTGGTTAGGAAAGGTAACTGGCAAGGAGGTGGGTGCCCACTCACGGGCGGTGGACACCCCCTTTATCACCGTGTCTCCCTATTCCCCTTGCTCCTCGGGCCCCAGCTACTCGGCTCATCTGCTCATCCCCGGTGCAGGCTGCTCTGTAACCGTCAGGTACTCGGACAGATGGTCTGTGGCCTCTCCGTCTGGGGGCTCGCGTCTTACGTAGCTCCCAGGTGCCTGGCCTGGGCAGGAAGCCTTACAAATTCTCCTCGCTCCACCTGACCGGGAGATGCCCCTGTGTTCCTTTTCGTGAACGTTCTACCTTCTGGGCAGAATATACGGGCAGAGCTGGAGGTGCTACTTGCTGAGCACCTACTGTATACCGGGCACTGTACCGGGCAGGTCCCAGTTCTCCAGGGGGCCTGTAACCTGGGAGACACGAGGGACAGATCGGAAATGATGACACAGGTGCCAGTTCCACCCTGGAGGAACTCTAGGGTGCCACCCAGGAGAGTGGTCCTGGACAGGAGTGGGGCTGGGGCTCAGGGACGGCTTCCTGGAGGAGGTGTCACCTAAGAGGGGAGGGTGAACCCATCTGGGCTGGCTGTGGGAAAGGGCAGGCATCACAGCCCAGGAGGGGATGGGGGCTGAGCTTTAGGACAAAGGGAGGGCAGCCGGGAAGGGGGCAGGCAGGGGGTGGGATGGCCCTTAGGGCCACGGGCAGGTGTTCCAGCTGATCCAGAGGGGCCAGGGAGATGGTGCGGGGGGAGGGGCTTCCGGACGCACCAGATTTTGCCCCCAGTGCAGAGCAGGGCTGGCCCCCAGCAGCCGGGGCGGGGAGGGGCCCGGCGCTCCTCCCCCATGTGTCCTCCGGTCTCTCCCACAGGTAGACCCCTACCTGCCCTACGAGTACAGCTGCGAGGGGATGCTGGAGCGAATCCACGCCTACATCCAGCACCAAGTAGGTGGGCCCCCCGCTCTCCGCCCCCAGGGGTGGGTCCTCCCCAAACCCCATCAGCCCCGAGGAGGGGGCCTAGCCCGCTCCTTCCTCCGAGGACGCTGTCTCCACCCAGGGCTCTGTGTCCGTTAAACCCCCGCCCCTTCTTCACCTGTCCGTCCGGGTACTCTCCCCGGAGATGATGCAGGGGAGCGGTCCTGCACTGCTCAGGCCAGGAGGCCAGGCCTGGGGGTGAGGTGGGGCGGCCCTGGGCGTCCAGCTCGAGAGCCCGGCCCCATACCACAACACAGAAACAGACTGTTATTTTTACTTTGATAAAGAAGTCGTGGACAAGTCTGGTAACTGATTGGCTGGGGAGTATGGAGGACCCCCCCTCCCTCCACCCCCAGGGATGAGACTGGGCTGGGGACCAGGTCCTCCGCCCTGAGAACCCAGGGGATCTGAGCCTCCTGAGGGTCCACGGGTGGTCCTTCCAAGCTCTAGGGCCCAGCCGGGCAGCGGAACTACAGGTAGATGGCTTTATAACTACGTGATATTCAGACCGATAGCGTGTGGCCTCTGTCTGCACCTTGCCCCCAAGCCCTGAGGGCTGGAGAGTGCTTGACACACAGGAGCACTGAGGCCGGCAGCAGAGAGGGCTTGGTGGGGTCAGGGCCAGAAGCTAGAACCTGGGACTCTCAGCTCCCAGCCGCCCTTTGGGATGTTATCAGGAAACTCACAGGAAAGCATTTGCTGGGCCCTAGGGGTGGTCCCTGAAACTGATCCCTGCCGGGAGAGCCCCTCCCCTCCCCCCATCCACACCGCAGGTGGGGCACATGGGCCTCAGGGTAGAAACCCTGAGTCTAGCCAAAGCTTGAGGTAGCACAGGGTGGATCAAACCCAGCCATCCAGCTGTGACGCCCTGGGCAGATTCCTTGACCTCTCTGAGCCTCGTCCCCCGCCCCCCAACTGCCGAAATAGCTGGAGGCATAGTGGTACCCTTTTGATGGGGTTGTCACGAGGGGGGAAAAAAAATGGCATAACGCGTGGCGGTTGGCCTGGTTTTCGGGAAGCTCCCGATGTGGTACGATTGTTGTCGTGGCGAGG